TTATCACTAAGGAGTAGGCTGTTACCAAGCCAAGCTTAGAATGACTAAGGGAACGTACAATTTGGGAACATGTATACTAATGTCTGAGCAAAGGACACGGCAAACACACATACACACACAAAGCAAACCAGACAAACAAGTTACGGTCTTGGCACTATCTTCTGTAGTGATATTTTACCATTTTCAATGACAGTTTCATGGGCTTTACAGAAATTAAAATAGCAATTAAAATAATTACATCAATACCTACATAGACATGTTGGTGTTGATATTCTTGTAATATTTTAAGTCCTTTGCATAATCGGATTAAATAACATGAACACATAACTCCAGAGATAAAAGCCACCATTATCCCAGGAAAAAGACCAGCATTAGCAAACAAATTAATTTCTGGGTAAATCAGACAGAAAAGAGTTAAGGCCTTGATCCAAGACTTACTATTTTCAAATAATCTCCAAGTTCAAGACACTCCTCCTGAAGTGAAATCACTGGCACCCTGCACATTCCCCCTACAGTGTCAGAGAGGGAAATACGCACTTGAAGCTGCTAATCCACCAAGTGAGAAAGGCACATGGTGTGAGCACAGAGAGAACCAGCACTGCACTTTGAAACGGTTTGCCTCTTATCCCCTTCATGACCTTGGGCAAACGATTCCAGCACTTGTGAGCCAGGTGCTGCCTTTGCTACACTATGAAAATGGCTATTGCATCTATTGATCATGCCAAGGTGCTATGAGGTTTAATTTATTAGTTAACGTTTGCGTTACATTCTGCAGCTCTTAGATGGAAGGTGCTGTAGAAATGCAAAGCAGCCATATATTACCTAAACATCTGCCTCCTCACACAGCTCTCCAGGAAGAGTTCATTGCTTCAGCACAAATGATTTCTCCCAAAATGGATGGTTTCATCTAGGTCTTTCTCAAGCTATAAATTGTTTCCCCTCCTCTCCCAGTCCACAGGCTCTGTGCAGAACACACTGTCCATCTTCTCCCAGGGATGGGTACCATGAATGCTCTTCCTGGGGATGTGCTGCAGTTAGTCACAGGCCCGCCTTTTCCTCACCATATCTGCCTCTTCATTCTTCACTCCAAAGAGCCATTAGAAAGTAGATTTTCTTTCATTTTGGCTTTTGGAGACAGGGTCTCTCTGTAGCTCCAGCTGGCCTGGAACTCACTGTGTAGACCAGGCTGGTCTCAAACTCACAGATTCACCTGCTTCTGCCTCTCAAATGCTGGGATTAAAGGCGTGCACTACCACACCTGATCAACTTCTCTTTAGATGCTTAATTTTATCCATTAGCATGCTATACCTAGTCCAAGAGCTTAGTGTTTTAGAATTTGGCACTAAAACCAAGAGAAATCAAGAGTTTCTTGAAAATGAGAAATTAAAGTATATAGGTAACCTCAAGTTTGAACTTTAAAAAAAATTTTAAATTTTATTGGGTTTTATATGTTTTTTATTTTTTGAGAATCTCATAGATGAGTACTGTATTTACATCATTTCCTCTCCTCCCGTCCCCCATTCAATTCCTCCCATGTCCTTCTCCCACACACCCTCTCAATTTCTTGTCTTCGTCTTTATTGTTACATATACAAACATACATTTATATATAATGATATATATACACACACACACACACACATGTATATAATGCACTGGGTCCATTTAGTGGTGCTGTGGTGTACATGTGTTTCGGGTTGACCACCTGGGATTAGACAACCTATCAGGGAGCTGCTCCCTGGAGAAAACTAATTCTCTCCCTCAGCATCCACTGGTTGCCTGTAGCTCTTCATCTACAGGTGGGACCCTGTGTCATTTCTCCCATCCACACTGGCATGTCAACTGCATGTCATTATGCAGGTCTAGCTAGGCAACCATAATGTGGAGATTTCCCGAGTGCAGCTTCTCTGTCATGCCTAGAATGCATTACATGTAGCAGCAGGTATCTTGTTCCTTGGGCTCTTACAATGTTTCTGCCCCTTCTGCAATGCTCCCTGAGCCTTAGGTGTAGGGGTTGGACTGTCGATGTATCAGGGCTGAGCACTCCAGTCACTGATTCTCTGCATTCCGACCAGTCACACATCTCTGTAATAGTCTCCATCTGTTGCAAGAAGAAGCTTCATTTTGATGAGATTAAATTAACTGCTGAATTACTGAAGTTTACACTGAATATCATTATTGCTAATGTTAATACTGTCCATGATATTAAAACTCTGGAAAGAACCTTGCAGCAAAAGGGTATTTATTCCTACAGAAATTCTGTATGCTTGGGTTTTGACAACTTCTTTTCCAAATACAACTACAGATACAAAATGCATGATAAACTCTATTAGTATGTAGTAGTCCTCCTTTTCTCATAGTTTTCCTTCTGCTTCAATTTTTAGAGTATTTTTTCTTTGCACATTGTTCTTCAATCCTATTGTTTGTGGTTATGGGAGTACCTTAAAATATTCTAGGGATTTGTGGTAATCAGGCACAGCAAGAGTACAGAGAAAGGAGAATATGGTATTCATAGTTCCTAAGAGGAGGTGCATGCCAGGTCACGCCAGAAGAAGCACTAAGGTCAGAGAAGAGGGAGATGGAAGGAGGGAGAAAACAGGCTCCCGAGCCTTCACTGTGGTTTCTCTGGGAAAAGATAAGAGAGGCAGGGTAGGGAGATATGATCACATCATAAGGTTGGAGAGTTTGAAGAACTGCAGTGAGAGCTAGGATGTGGTAGCCATCTCTAGTTGTCTGGTCTCAGGTGATTTAGAGTAGGGGGAATCTTGGTTGACTGTGAGAGTTGGATATAGGAGGAGACTAGGGCTTAGGGCTGCAGACTGAGTGGATTGTTTATGAGAGCTGTGTGCACAGAAAACTTGCTCTCTAAGTCTTAGCTAATCCTAGAGAAGTCTCTTTCAAGTCTACATGGCCCTCAAGATGGCAAAGTACAATAAAATACAGAAAACAGCAGAACACACAAACACCATGATAAATATGGGGGATTGTTTTTTGAAATAGTCCAAGTAACTGAGTTTGGCTATATAATCTCTCTCTCTCTCTCTCTCTCTCTCTCTCTCTCTCATGCCTTAAGCATGTTAAAATTAAAGATGTATGTGGCCACACCCTGCTACACTCTTTTATATTAATGATAACATACATACATGTTTTGTTTTAAAAGTTGTGAAAATACCTATGAAAACAGCTCTTTGATGAGCACTCACCGTGCCCCTAGCACTTGGTGCAGCACTGCAAGACATGGTTTAATCCTTGAAATGAGAGCATAAGTGAACTAAAATGAAAAAATTTAAATCATGTTGCTGTTTATTTATTTGTTGCTTTCAAGTAGAGTAAATGAGGCACAGTCTGCAGGAGGGAGATTCAGAGACTTTGAAAGAGGCAACCCAGCATTCTGTGCTTTTTTTTTTTTTTTTTTTTTTGTGTTCAAATAGAAGAAAATAGGGACAGGTGTCGGGGGGGGGATTTCAGGACTTTTAAAAAGGGAACCCCACTTTTTTGTGTTTTTTTTTTTGTGATTTCAGGTTGTAAAGCTTGGGCAGCTCGTATTGGAGGAACTGAGATAACTTTTTAAAAGCACACCCCAACCTTTTTTTCTTTTTTTTTTTTTTTGTGTTCAAATAGAAGAAAATAGGGACAGGTGTCGGGGGGGGGATTTCAGGACTTTTAAAAAGGGAACCCCACTTTTTTGTGTTTTTTTTTTTTTTTGTGTTCAAATAGAAGAAAATAGGGACAGGTGTCGGGGGGGGGATTTCAGGACTTTTAAAAAGGGAACCCCACTTTTTTGTGTTTTTTTTTTTTTTTTTTTTTTGGTAACAGTGTGTATATTGTAAGGCAGTTTGCTCAAGTGCATAACCTGCCATCTTGGCAGTAATTGGTCAATCTGAAGTAGTTCTAGTTGTTAAAAGTTCAGCACTTATACATGGCTCTAGTTGAAAGGACTTCTATAGAGATGTCTTCAGCTTGTTGATAAGGGTTCTTAGCCTGCCATTATATAGGGAGGTATCAACTGGCTTATAGACTGAGACTCCCCAAATCACACTCACTCATAGCATAAGATTCTTCCCAACAGTGTCCTGGGAACACGCTCCCAGTTTTTCTAGGTTGGCATGAAAGGTGAAACATAATATATTTTTCAACATTATAGAGAAGAATCAAGATCCTGTCTTGATTCATGGTTACAATTAAGGTTTGGAGTGTTGTAGACTGAAAGATAATTTTTGTTTATTGATAGAGATCAGAGGTGCAACTTGATGTTTATAATGGATCCTTGTCTTTTGAAATGTGCACTGTGGATTCCTGCTAACTGGCCCAGTCCTTTTCCAGTTTGCTTCAGATGGGCATCTCTGGCTCCACACTGTACCACCTCATCCTCCAGGCCACTTTCCCCTCCTATATTCTAATGGGGTGGTCCTGACTCCATAGGTATGGGAGGCTTGGCAGGAACTGATGGCAATCTTGCTGTCCTTGCCTCCTCCCCGAACTTGCTCACTCTCATTTCTAGATTTCCAGGGGGAGGCACCTGACCCTGGCTAGATAACACCCTTCCATCCATAGTGGCTGGCTCTAGGCTCAGCCAATCCCAGTCCTCACTGGGATACTTCAGCTAAAGCACCAGAGGAGACCATTTCTGGATGGAACAGCAGGTCAAGGAGGCATAAGCAAGAGACTTGTATGGTCATCTTTCCCTCAGGTAAAAGTGAAAGACATGATTTTGTGAGCCCAGACAAGAGATGAAGGACAGAGCTCTTGAATCCAGCTGTACCTGAAGTTTATGCACCTGTTACTGCCCAGGTACAAGAGCCATTAAATCCTTTTTGAGTACCCTGAAACTAGTTCAGAAATTGGATTTCTGAATTTCCAAGTAACAGATTTCTAACTATAATAAAGATGTTAAAAAAAATATCAAAGAAATGATTTTACTGTCCTAATGCTGTTTTTTGAGATTCTAAAGGACAGGTGCTTATTAATGAATTAAGATATGATTTAAGATAGCATCCACACATACTTACATGGCAGGGGAGATACCATGATCAAGGAGGTGGTTTTCCCAGGGCAAGTGAGGGTCATCCATTACACTCAGGACTGGTGAACCTCTGTGATTTCCCCAAAGATGGGAAACTCGACTGCATAATTTGTGGTAGTGGGGGACTATGCTCATGCCTTCCTCCATTTTTTTTTTAAAGATAGCATCTACTGAATGGTTACTTCATGGTATGACTAAATGATTTCCATATAGTGGATTAACTAAGAAACACATTAAATAAAGTCACAGGGCCTGTAAGTGGCTGAGACTTGAACCTAGTTTAACCAACTTGATTCTACACTCTTAGCTACTGTGCTAACAAGTACAACCTAGTTCTGTTCCTTCATAATCATGTCCAGTGAGTTTAAAGGAGAGCAAGGCACAGCATCCCTTCTCCTTCCTGTGTCTGGAAAGGCAAGCTAGCCATTAGTACGGTTTCAACCTTCCAAGATAGAGGAGAGGGTCTCGTTACCCTTTATAGAGAATTTGGGCATCGCTGTCCTCCAGGCCTAGAAAGAGCACTTTGGAAATAATGTTACTCGTAAGTTTCAGCGTGACTTGGCACAGTTCCCTGAAAATGCCCATTTTTTTCCTAAGTCTACTGGAAGATGTTATTAAACTGGTGATAAATTTAACCTAAAACACAGAGTAAATTGCAGTATACCATATGAGATAAACAGATCCAGGGAAGCCAAGTGTTGAGATGAGAAAGGGCCCTCTTACTGCTTAGGGATTAGAGTGGAAAGCAGGAAGGTCTGCCATGCTTGATGGGGTGAAGTCACTGGGTGTACACTTCCCTTCGATAGCGCCTGAAGATGCTCCTTGAAGCTCAAGTTCTCTCGGCCCTCGGTCTCAGTCCCCCATAGATTTGTCAAATTCTGCTTTTGCGCTTAGTTTCTTGATTACCTGCTGAAATCCTGAAATTGCCGCAGCTGTTGTGATTTTAGCTCCTTGAATTTATGAGCCCCACTGAATCTCCTTTGCATCTGCCTGGGCTGCTGCTTTTGAAATGGGCAGTGACATGTGCGCGTGCATGTGCATGTGTGTGTGTGTACAGCTGAGAAGAAGAGTGATTAGATTAGAATGATAGCAACAGAGAGCATTAGATGTGTGTCTTGTGACAAATGTTAACTATTTTAAGGAGAACCCTGCCTGCTGGTCTAGAAGCATAAGGGCACCCTCTTATTGTTATGGATACTTATGAGGAAGATGTTCTGAGGTGGGGGTATGGAGGCATGCTTCTTAAACAAGGGTAACCTAGAGAAAATGGGTAGTAGCAAGATGCAGGGACAGGATGTAGAAATAGTTCTCTTTTCTTAGCAGAAATCTTCACACATTCTGGTTTCCTCAAGGTCTAGATCAAAGTGATATCAAGCTGAGGAGGAAGCCCGCCAGAGGGCCCCCCTGACTCATCGGCTCTGCGTTGGCTTGGGTAACCTATTCTCCCTGTTTGTCTGAAGTTCAGATTCCCTGTGTTGTCAAGGCCTCTGAGGAAGGTGGAAGAAAGTTCGAGGTGGTGGAAGAGAGTTATGGAAGGTGGAGAATTCTTAAGCCCAGGAGTACCAGATCCCTCTGCTCCATCAGGTACCATGAGCCTGTCCACTGATGGTTTATGCCCAACTGACTAGATCACCACTCTCTCTTGGTGCCCAAGCTACCAAAGCCTGGTGCACATCTCTGCTTGCATGCACAGTGGCTCCTTCAGGGCCCACAGAGAAAGGATATATCTCCTTGCCCAAGTCAGTTCTGTCAATGCTCAGTGATTCTAAAAGTCCTGCTAAAATGCTCATTTAACAAATCTTTACTGAGCCTTCAAAGCAGTCTCTAGGATTTAATGTGTTTTAAAGAAAAACCTCTCTATGCCGGGCGTGGGGGCACATGCCTGTAGTCCCAGCACTTGGGAGGCAGAGGCAGGCGGATCTCTATGCCTGGTCTACATAGTGAGTTCAAGGACAGCTCAGGCAACAGGAAGACCCTGTCTCAAAAAAAAAAAGACCAAAAGAGAGAGAAAAAAAAAACCCTCTCTATATAAAATTAAGAAGAGAAAAAAGGTGACTATTAGTTTATATATACCAAATCTTGAGGACACTAACTGAGCAGAGAACTCTTTAGAGCCCTGAATAGCAATCACTTAAACAAAGGGTACATGGCTGAGTATAGCTCCTTCTCTAAGGTTTCAAATCCAAGTTCAGAACACTTGCCCTTGCAGAGTTCAACTGAATGATGGTCCCACCATTAAGAACCAGAATACCCACATACAATTCAAAGCAAAGCTGCTAGGAGCGATGGAGGCTGCTGCTATCTGGATGCCTGCCCTGGAAAGGCTGCACCCTAAAGAAGCTGGAGGCACAGAAACAGGAGTTCTCAGTCTGCATCTTCTTTCAACTGGGGCATGTTGCAGTCATAGATGGAGTAAGCCTTAGAAGAAGCTACTGGAGGCAAAGAACCAACAGAGCTCCGGACAGTCCTGTGGGGTTTGAAAGAGGCAGGGGATGCAGCTTAGTTGGTAGAGTACTTGTCTGGTATGTATGAAGCCCTGGGTTCATTCCATAGCACTGCATAAACTAGGCATAGCTGTGCATGTCTGCAATCCCAGCACTGGGGAGGTGGAGGCAGATAACAAATTCCCAGGCCATCCTGGGATACATGAGACCCTGTCTTAAAAAGACAAAGCTGCAAAATTAAGGAGCTGAGATCTTGGTGATTTGGCAGAACCCTTTCCCTGATCATATATTAAGTTTGGTAGATTCTTCTCTTCAAGAGGGTAACAGAGCAGAAGGTTAAAAAGTCAATAGAAAGCCAGTTGTCACCAGTTGTCCATAGGGTCACCACACTTGGGAAACAAAGATTATGATTTAGGATCCATTAGGAGAAGCCCTGGGGGAGTAAGTCATGCATTTCTTCAAGGCATACTGACTTGATTCAGGGAGAAGTTGATGAGTGTCTTGTCAGCTTGCTGAGCAAATAAATGGGTGCCTGGCTCCTCTGGAGAACACCACCAAGGCCTGCACTTCACCCAAGTTCTAGGGTATAACCCAAAATTTAGGGGGACACAGCTTCCTGCTTGGTAATTGCTGTGATGACAGCTTTATCTTTTTAGCTTATAGAACCTGGGCTTCCTGGGAGCATGGGCATCACAGAGAATCAGGACACAGCAGTGGGTGGGGGTGGGGGATGGCATGACACTTCCAGACTGTGCAACAGCAGCTTCTTAAATCAGCATTGCCCAAACTCATGGAGATGTGGCGAGAGTCACTAATTTGTCCAAGATAATTATTATTTGGTTTCAAGCCGATGAGATTTAGGGAAGATTTTTAAATTACTCACAAAACAAAAATAAAAAATTCTACTTAAATCCAAATGGTAAATATGGGAGAAAAATAAATTCAGACAACTGATCTACTAAGAATTTCTCTCATCTCCAGATTCAGGGCAGGCATCCCTTTTCTGGCTCCCTTACCACTGTGCTTGCTTCTACTTGTCTGGATTCCTAGAGGTCTGAGAAGTTAATCCAGGGCCACAGTCTGTATCTAGCTTATTTTTACAAGTCTTCTTAAATGGTTGACATAGTGCCTGGAACATAGCACATAGATAGTTTTTGATAGAACTAATAGTGAAAATTTAGAAAGCAGCCTAATCAAATCCAATATCCTAATACAGTTTTGTAGTTGGGTGCACAAAAGCCTAATCTTTTTAAATCTTCATTTTATTTTATGTATATGTGTATTGCTTGCATGTGTGTAAGTGCACCCATGTTGTGCAATGCCTCTGGAGGTCAGAAGAGGGCATCGGATCCCCTGGAACTGGAGTTATGAACAGCTGTTAGCCTCCATGTGGGTGCTGGGAACTGAACCCAAGTCCTCTGCAAGAGCAGTCAGTGCTCTTAACCACTGAATCATCTCTCCAGGCCCAGAAAAGCCTAATCTTAATTATGGCAGAAAATCTCGTAATCACTGAAGTTAGAAAGGGGAGTTAGTCAGGTGATTGTCATTTGTAGCAGGGAACTTAGAAAATGAATATATACACTTTGCATTTACTGTAATGCTTCACTTTAACTTAAAAAATACAAATGACATTCATAGCTAACATTATGGTGGTGTGCCAAAATCTTTTCTTTCAGTTTAGGCCCATGACTGGACATCCAAGTGTTCTTTCTTGGGTAAGCCACTGTCACAAAGAATCGTTTCTGATTTTCAGTGTCTTTTAAGAAGAGTGAAAATCAAAAGGTATCAGGGTCAACCTGAGAAAAAACTTCACATAATCTATACATTTGCCATCATTTTACAGTTTTCATGCCCATACTCGAACCGCCCCCCATCTTAGTGACTCAGTCACAGTCGTCTCAAAGTATTCAACTTAATTTTCATAAACAACTCCTCAATACTCATCTTTGGTGAGGTTACACAGTACTTCACTGCATAATCTCAACAACACAGCTGACATAAGTTTTAGAGCAAATACTACTTTTGGTAAGCATACAATTCAACTGGTAAGGTCAAAACTACTAGTAGAAGGGCAGGTGAGATGGCTCAGCAGGCAAAGGCACTTGCTGCCACACCTGACAACCCAAGTTCAATCCCCAGAATTCACATTGGAAGAAGAGAACCAACTCCCACAAATTATCCTTTAACCTCCGCATGTGTACTATGACATGTGCATTCATGTACATTCATTTTTTCAATGTTTTTATTGAATATTTGTGCATTTCATATAATACACCTTAATCATATTTAAACCTCCTCCCCATATGCAACCCCACTGCTCCCCCACCAGACTTCATGTATTCTGTCACATATGTTAAGGCCTATTGAGTCAAGTTTGTGTTCCCACATGTCTCTTGGTATGAGTTCATCCACTGGAGCCTGGTCAGCCTATCTAGAGTTACTCACTTAAAGAAGACCAACTCTCCCTCACCCAGCAGTGATCGGCTACCAATAGTTCCTTGGCTAAGTTTGGGGCCTTCTGCCCATTTCCCCAGTTCTGTGCTGGATTTTGAGAGACTGAGTTTGCATGAGTCTTTTGCATGCTGTCACCATTGTTGTAAGTTCATATGAGCAAGTTCCCAGGTGTCTGGAAAACTCTTGTTTCTTTGTGGTCATACACCACCCCTGGCTCTTACAATCTTTCTGCCCCCTCTTCCGCAA